TCCTATCATTTGCAATGACATGGATGGACCTAGAGGTTATTATACTGAGTGAAATAAGTCAGACAGAGCAAGATAAATACCATATGATTTCACTTATGTGCGGAATCTAAGGAACAAAAAGGACAAACTAATCAAAAACAGACTCACAAATATAGTAGACAATTTGGTGATGGACAGTGGGGAGAGGGGTTGAGAGGCTGGGAGAATACGGTGAAGGGTTAAAGAAGTACAAATTAGTAGTTGATAGATGATCACAGGAATGGGGAACACAATATAAAGAATGTAGTTAACATTAATATATTGGCTAGGTAGAAAACCAGAGGAGAGAAGAAGCAATTAGGGGGATAGTTTTATAAACTATATAAATGTCTAACCAATGTACTGTACACTTGAAACTAATTAAAATTAAAAAATAATGTTAAATCTTACAAAAAAAATTGCCTCTAATTGTTTTTGACGAATAAAGGGGAAGAGGTATTTTTCCTTGGGCAAACCCTAAATCAAGTCAAATAAAGACAGCCTTAGGAGTGACATCTGAGGAATGACTAGACAGTTTATATAATGACTGTTCTCTGGGAATGGGGCTTTGAAGGAGACTCAGTGCTATTTTGTCCTCTCTTATGGCTTCCAGGCTATTTGTTTTCACTGTGGATGTGGGCTGTTGGTTTTCAATACTACCATGGAGAAGGGAATAGGACAAGTTAAGATGTCACAAAGCTGCTGTTCTTACAGCTATTTTTTCTTAAATCTAAAACTTTAAAGTTTATTAGAAATTATTTTGAATCCCTACGGTGGTTGTAACTTATGGCTGTTTTTGTTTGCTTTAAAAATGAACAAATACTCCCTAGGTTGTTGAAGCTTCTGGTTAAATTCTAGGGTTTTAAATAGTTGATCCTGAACATTGTTTTTGGCCTGTTTTATTGTTTCTTTTATGGAAGAGAATATTTTCAGAGGTTCTTACTCTGCCATTTTCCCTGATGTTATTAAGTAATTTTAAAGATGATTTTGCTTTGAGTAAACTTCATGATTTACTAAAATATGTGTATGTGACTTGAGGATCTGGTTTTCTTACACATAATTTTTTTCTTTCTTAATTAAAATGTATATTTTAAAAAGGAATTTTTTCCTTATTCAAATATGACTAGCATTTTGCAAAGTGTAGAATTGTGAGTAAGGCAGGGTTATTCACTCATGTGCTTTTTATATATGTCTGAAACCTAGATGGTTCATGGAGCAGTGACTAAACATTTTTCTGGGGTGACAGATACTAACATTAGATTTGTTAGTTTTAACTACAAGCTCAACTTTTTTTCTAAAGCCCTTGGAAATTCTCTTTTAACAGAATGCAGAGTCTGGATGAGCCATGGACTGAAGAGGAAGGGGATGGCTCAGACCACCCATACTACAACAGCATTCCAAGCAAGACACCGCCTCCAGGGGGGTTTGTTGATGCTCGATTGAAAGTCAGATCTCATGTCCCTGACACAGCCCAGGTAAGTGTTATACCTTTTTCCGTGGATGCTGGTGAACTAAACATTATTTCCTTTATATTATCTTCAACATTACTTTTAGGCTGGTGTTCTGTCTAGTCTTTGACAGAATAGGTCACAAACTTTTCCCCCTTGAATTTCACAAAACAGACATTACAAGGTTATGCCAAATAGCCAAGTACCTTGGAACTATATTGTGATTCTTGAGATAGGATCGGGGGGACTCCTCTTCATATTAGGAAAAATCTCATTATATTGCTATCTTTATGAGGAGAAGAGAGAGTTCAAGGTTTTAAAAAAGTCTAGATGCTTTGGGTTCGCTGAAAAGACAGTGGAAATAGGTCTTTAAAATGGTGAGAATTTTGTGAACTTTTCTGTTTTAGTTAATTTCCTAATTTTCCCTCCAACTCAAAATTCTAGTAAAGCAATTGCTTTTTAGAGTGATAGTATCTCTAGTTTGTTAGAGAGAGTTTTTTCATGGCATTAACCTTATGTGAATGATTATGACACTAATAAAACTGTCAAACATAACATTGAAATCAAGTGTCAGTAGCTCTGACATGGAGGGAATTAACTGGGTAGACTTGCTCAGATGTATTAGGTGGGCAGTATGTTCTGACACATAGACACTAACTGAAATTTATTTTAGGGCATGTCGAGTGATGCTGCTGCATGTAGAAGAGCTCAATTCATGCTCAAACTTGAGTGGGGGGGGGGAACATTGTGGGGGAAATGCAAAAAGAGCATAATTTTGATGAGATGCTTCCTCATACTCATACAAACTTATTTCCCAAATCTTAATGCCAACTGTGAGGCATGAAGAGAAAATTGAGTGTAATCAGGGATGAAAACAACTGACTGCTGCAGTCCCATCTACTGTGTTATGGCTTTTGGAGATGGGAAAATAAGATGAACATAATTTTTTTCTCTTTGTGTATTTACATGTGTCCATAGTTTGCAGGAAAAGAGCAAACTTATTACCAGGGAAGACACTTAGGAGAGCTATTTGGTGAAGACTGGCAGCAAACACCCATCAGGCAAGGTGAGAGGCAAGGTAAGGAGGGTGAGAAACATAAAAATATAGAAGTCATTTGCTACTTTCTGGTCTTCCTTGCCCCTCCTCCATTCTTACAAAACCATTTATTTGCTTTATAACCAGATATAGATTAGTTTGCATTTTCCAGAATTTTATATACATGTAATTATATATTATGCATTCTTTTTTTTCTGACTTATTTTCATTCAGCTAAACTATTTTTAGATTCACTCCTGTTGCTTCATGTATTGTTTATTCCTTTTTTTTATTGCTAATTAGTATTTCACTGTGTGAATACCCTATACTATTTACCTGTTGATTAATATTTGTTTTCAATTTGTGGCCATTACAAATAAAGTTGATATGAATATTCATATTAAAAAATAAAACAAAAATAAAGTAATGTCTCCCCATTGGATAGTTCATTTACTGAGAACCCACTAGAAAAATCTGCTGAGGGTGGGATTGCAGATTCCTGACCAGATCAAAGAAGTAAAATAAGGGCTGTGGGGTGCCCACTACTACATATCAGCTGTTGCCTCTCCTGGCACAAGGATCAGTTCATGTCTCTCAGAACTTACTGTTCACAAGCACTCTGGAGATTTTCTTCTGACAGGAGAGCTGAAGAATCGACCTCTCTAGAGGCATCTCCACTCATTTCAAGTGGTAGTTGGTAGGGGGACTCTGAAGTGCGTTACATGGAGTCCCTAAGCTCCCCAGTGGTTCCTAACAGGAACTAGTAGCTTTCCCTTCCTGGCATCCCCATTGTCCCCCTATCCAGGATCAACTTCAAGAAGAGTAGAGTGACACCTGTTCTAGGCAGAGATGATGCCAGGGATACATCCTTCACATGCCCTGGCTGCATTTAGAGGACACTTCCACATGCTATTGAATCGATGAATATGCACCTACATTTCACATTAAAAATAATTTAGACACGACAAAGTTAGCAGTTAGACACAACTAACTGCTAACGTAAGTCTCTAGTCTCTAAACAGTTATTTCTACGTGTGTGTGTGTGTGTGTGTGTGTGTGTTTTGAAGGTTTAATTTAAAACATTTCCCCTCCTCAAACATTTCCATAATTCATTCAATAGCTCTGGGGTCATGGCTACAAACCGCAGGGTCTGAAGGAGATGGAGTGACGAATGAGTTAAGATTCAACTTATGCCTCTATATATGTAAATTTAACCATTTATAGATTTAATGTTAAGGCTTTTTCCTTCATTGTAGCCATTTGTGCTGGGAGTTAATGGCAATAAATTTTTAAAAGTTCCCCCTTGTGAGAGAATTTCACATGTTGTTTGCCCCACCTGAAAAATGACCCATTAGTGCTGGCCTAGTCAACTGAGTATAAGTCCTGGCAGAAGCCACTACCTGGCTCTACCTTAGAGTAAGATAGAAATAGCAAATCAAACTTATAACTTTGTCAGAGACACTTTTTTTGCTGTCTTCATCTTTGTTCTACATACATTTAAAATGTATTTATATAACTTATGTGTACCTAGACCTATAATAACTGCTAAAGACTAAAAGAGACACATTATTTACACAATAAATTTATTTATTGAGAAAAGATTAGGTTTATTTAAAAATGAGATCTTTTTGTATATTAAAGTTACTCTGATCAGGTCAAGAACAGGCAATATAAAAGATTCATTATGGCAAAAATGAGCCTTATGTAAGTTTCTGTCCTGGAATTTGAGACTCATAACTCTTAATAAATTTCAAATTCTCATTTGAAAGCAATAAATATCTTTTTTCATTGAACAAATAAGAATTTCCCTTATTAATTCACTGTCAGCTATTTCCCCTTAAATGAAAATGGACTCTTGGTATTGCCATGGTGTATGTGTCCACCTATCCCAGATCAACATCTGCCATTGTGTGAGTGGGAAAGGACTGTTGTCAGGAAAGTTATTCATTTGGACTTTTAATTCTCTCCTTTTTAAAATTAGTTTGTAAAATTCTTCTTACAAACTGATTTGTTTGCAATGCACACATGAGTGAACTACAGATAGCTGCTGCTAAATAGGACATAACCTAGGAACAGTCTGTGAAACATAGACTGGTCAAGTCAAGTGCAAGAATAGGACTAGAGACAGGTCACGTCTTTGCTTGGAGACACTCCCCCAAAAGGATTTTAGCAGGATATTTACATTCCCACTGTACGGGTGGACAGTGATGTGCTGCCCAAAGTCCAACAATGGGCTCTAGAGAAAGTTTCTTAAAAAGCCCTGAGGCAATTCTCGCCTGCTAGTTTGAGCTGGCTTCAACATCCCACTGCCAATAGGGTATGAAAGGTAACCTCTCTCCAGAGATGTGAATACTAAAAGACCATCTTGAGAATATGCCTGTACGGTGTGCTAGAGACAAGGATCCTGTAAAAGAAATTGGATAGTGACCCAAGCAGGTGTGATCGGGCAATACCCTTCACTCTCTTCAGGTGACAATAGCAGGCATCACTGGCCCAGCCTGGGCACAGTCTTGGGCCAACTGTAAAGTGCCATAGAGGCACTGCCTGGGGGATAGGAACCTTAATCATGCACCCACTCTGGGCCTCCTTTGTGGAGCCAGGGGCTGCAAGGCTCTGTTTTATAAGGAAGGTGTCTCAGATCATTAGGTAGTAACTTCCTAAAACGGGGTTGGAGCACTTGTATTGCATTGCTGGAATGAGGTTAACTTACAAAGCATTCACTTACACTTAAAAGGAAAAAAAGGGCAATTAAAATAAAGCTTGTTGCTCTTTTGCTTGGTTGCTTGAGCTCAAGGCCTTTGTTAAGGGTTTGAGCAGACCAAGGCATGGCCTACTCTACTCACCAGGCCAGGGCAGGGGGCCAGAGTCTTGGTAACGACACTGTCGTGGGTATCTGCTGTAATGCGCTGGCAGTTCTCATTTTGACATAAGGTGTGGAGTGAGTCCTAGCCAGAACAAAACTGTGTGAGACAGGATCAGAAGAGATTAATCTGATAGGGATCTGCAGGAAGAATTTTCTTATGGATAGCCTGTAGGACCTTCTCTGTGAAATGCTGGGTGGCTTAACTATAAATGCACAAGCAGCGTTACCGTCAGAAGAGGAAAGAGGGCTCGTTTTCTTGTTGCAGGGTCTGTGGACATCTACAGCATGCCAGAAGGGAAAGCGCATGTGGCCCCTACGGGAGAAGCCCCTACCTACGTGAACACCCAGCACTTCCCACTGCAGGCTGGGCCATCTGCCAGCAGCAGCGCAGAGAGCAGCCCAAGGAAGGACCTCTTTGACATGAGTGGGTTTCCATTTGCCTCTTGTTTTCTTTTCTTTTAAGTTGGTTTTTGATGCTGCTTTTTATTGGAAATCTGTGCAATTACCGATTTTCCGGTAGCTGAGTTTTAATTAACAGTGATAACTACCTGCACTCTTCTGGGTTATGAGTGGGATTTTCAAGGTTTTGAACTTGGCCAGCCTCTGCTTTGAGATTATAACCCTTTCTGTAGTCCAGAGACAAAGCAATCTCCCTCTCTTTTTGGCATTAACTTTCCTCTTGAAGATCTGCACATTCATTGAGACAAAGGGTATACATAAATAAATGCACTCATTTATTTATTCTCTTAAATATTAATTGGCTATTGTGTGCCAATTGCTGTCTCAGTTGCTAAGGATGCCAAGATGAAGTGCTATGGTCACTGTCTTTTGCAGTGCTCTCAGTCTGTTGATCAAGACCAACATGTAACCAAGAAACTACAGCACACCCCTCTTGTATGCATGTACCTCCTTCTCATTTTTCTCTCATTCTTTCTCTCTCCCTTACTCCTCTCCATTGAGCATCTAGCATGCATCATATACCATTCTATTTACTGGGATATAGGGGAAAACAAAATAGGCAAAGTCCCTATTCTTATGGAGCTTAAATAATCACTATATATTACCAGGTAGTAACAAGTGCTCTGATGAAAAATAAGACAAGATAAAAAGAGAGACAGGAAACTACTTAGATAGCAATATCGTGAACCATGGACCTTCTGCTTGTTGAAAACATTGAGAAAATTAAATCATCCATGAACTGATTAATGGAAGTAAAAACTGTTGTTAAGGAATTTTGGAAGAATTTCTCAAGCTCACAAAGAGCTCTATATCCCCCCAATTTTTTTCAAATCCAAAATTACAGGCTAAAGAAGGAAGGAGACTAGCATTTAACAAATTTCTACCATGTGCTATGCACTTATTATTTTATTTAAGTTTTGCAATGGTCCTACAGGTAGATACTATTGTTGTAGTCATATACCATATAATGACGTTTGTGTAAACTACAGACCATATATACACCAATGGTCTCATAAAATTATAATGGAGCTGAAAAATTCCTGTCACCTAGTGACATCATTCCTGTCTTAATGTCATAATGGTACAATGCATTACTCACATGTTTGCAGTGATGCTAGTATAAACAAACCTGCTGTGCTGCCAGTCCTCTGAAAGTACCATCTATGTTTGTATAAGTGCACTCTGTGATGTTTGCACAATGGCAAAATTGCCTTACTACGTCTTTCTAAGAATATATCCCCATGTTTAAGCAACACAAAACTGTTATTATTATGACTATGACCATGACTATGACTATAACTATGACTATAGCTATAGCTATGACTATGACTATGACTATGACTATGACTATTACTATCCCTATTTTACAGATGAGAAAACAGAATCCTAGAGGTTAAGTTATGTTACTACTGGTAAAGGCAACAGTCACACTTGCTATTTGTGATATTATATGTGAGTGAGGAGAGGGTTGAGTCCTTTTATGATTAGGAGGCATAAAAGGGTTGAGTCCTTTTATGATTAGGAGGCACCATGATAACAAAAATCTATTTTTCCTCAGCCACTTTAGTTTCCTCAGACACCGAACTCCCATTCTGACTTACAAAAGTCACTAGAACCAGAATAACTGTAGATTCTCCGTGTTTGGAAGCACCTTAAAGATCATCTAATCCAATCCCTTCACTTAAAATAATGTGGAAACATCTTAGGTGGTATGATGTTACTGTCCCAAGATGCAGAGCAAAGTAGTGGCTCTCTGAGCCTCTGCTCCAGTTGTAACAATGTCTCCCAACTAAAGTTTAGTTGTATTTGTCATCAGACAGTTTTACTGTTTAATTTATCCAGTTTACCAGTGATTTATGGCCCCAGAGCCTGAGGAGAGTTAGACTGAGCTGGAGTTTAAGATGGAAAAAATAAAAATCAGAGCCACCATTTTCTTATCCGGCAATTTTTACTCCTGCTCCCAAAACCAGAAAAGAGGAGACAAAAAGAAGAAAGAGCCCTGGGAGGCAGTACCTAATAAAAAGTATGAAAAATAAAGGCAGCAGTCTAAGTTGTTTATCTTGAACCACTGGAGCTAAATAACGATTGTGCTGATGGCAAAGGTAATGATGGTGATGATAGTGGTAATGATGATGGTAATGGTGATGATAATGACGTAGAACAGTATAATATAAATTTTAACTACTCTAAGTAATCAGGAAAAAGATAGGATAAAAAAATCAAATTTTAATCAATAGTTTTAACTTCTTTTTCTCTCCAAATATGTAAATGATTTAGCAAGTGTCAGAATGACTTTATTTTGGTTTTATTTTTTCACCTCACTTTTGCCCACCCTCTACTAACAATTAGTCTTATTTTACAGCATTTGTTGACTATTTATAGGGTCAGAACTATATCCGAAGAACAATGTTGGACTTTGGGGATGTACTTGAGCCCAGGAGGATGCAGTTCTTGTTCTTGTGGTGCTTGCTTTGTATTGGGTTAGCAGTGTGGTCCTAAATAATCATTATAATACTGTACACTTGCATAGCACTGCACAAATTTTTCATAGTGCTTTTGTACAATTATGTTATTTGAAAATTGAACAGATTTAATTAGGCAGGTCTGGTGACATCTTTGCCACTGATATTTTTTTGTTAGAGCAACAGTCTTACCATTCACTAATGCCCTGTGGCGAGAGGTATGTTCTGAAGGGCCTGAAGTCAAGCTCAGTCCTAGACACTTACACAAGAACCTTTTCCACAGGGAAACAAGTGAAGGTCAGGGGAAGGTAGGGCTCCTAACCTGGGGCAAGTCACAAAAAAGGCACCCAACAAATGTCATTTTCATTCTCTTTTAAAAATTTACTCAATCCAAAGATTTTGAAATAAACACTTGATAGGTTTTGCACAAAATCAAAACCTAGCAACTTGTGTTTCCCTTTGTGTATTTCCTTTGAGACTGGCAGGCTTTTATTCAGAAGAGAATATATTTGTTAAAGAGGCTAGCCAATGTTTCAGAGAAAGTAGATGGTGTGTAACATGCATGGCCTCCTGCAGCATGCAGAACTGAAGTCATTCTAACCAGCTTGGGTGTGTTCGAATACTTGGCATGAGGCACAATGCCCAGCTGCCTTAGGAAAGCAGACTTGTCATGCCCAGATTTGGGCTTTGCTTTCAAATGCTTGTTATGATGAGTCTTATTATATTATTAGCCTGTGATTTGTCTCCAGTTCTTTCTTCTGGTAGAGTTGCCTTTGCATTCCCATTCCTTGCATTGTACTGCTTATCATTTGTTCTTCTTGGATTGACCTTTTGCTGGCAAATGCTATTGACAGAACCTTTTGAAGATGCTCTCAAGAACCAGTCCATGGGACCTGTGCTGAGCAAAGCAGCATCTGTGGAGTGCATCAGCCCCATCTCACCCAGAGCTCCAGATGCTAAGATGCTGGAAGAGCTGAAAGCAGAGCCTTGGTACCAAGGGGAGATGAGTAGGAAGGAGGCAGAGGGGCTGCTGAAGCGAGATGGAGACTTCTTGGTCAGGAAGAGCACCACCAACCTGGGCTCCTTCGTTCTCACTGGCATGCACGATGGCCAGGCCAAGCATCTGCTACTCGTGGATCCGGAAGGCACAGTGAGTACAGGGCAACTGCTTTCCTTCCTTTACCCACATGTGCCTGCTAAAGTCCTGACGGCACTCCTCCAGGACTCTGAGCCTAAGCACAGGGGACTAATGCTTTCAGGCCAGAGCTGGGCTATGGGAGTCCATGGTCAGGACCCTCTGCAAGTTGTAAAACTTGGAAAATCACCAGAGCCCAGACAAAAAGACTTATTCTTGTGTCGTTTAAAATAAATACAAAAACTGATGAAGTTTTTCTCCCAAATACACTGATATGGCACAAAGGAGTGCAGTTTTTAATATTTCTTTCAAATACCTCTAGAAGGTGAATCATAGGTTTTCTTTGCAGGTTGTAGCATGGGATGAAGCAGTAAGTAAACCCTTATTCATCAGTCTCGTGGTTTCCCAATCAGAGAAGTAATGCCTCATGACAGCGAGTTCAGCAGTACAATTGCGTCTGAATAATTCTGTATGTTTGACTGAATAGCCCATCTTCCAGTCAATAACTAGATTTGACTTCACCCTGGCACAGTCCAAGAAATGCTAAGTTTAGTGAATGTAATTATATTAAACTAACCATTGAGTAAATTTCAGGATTGTTGTTTAAAATCTTTTATCCAGTGAAAACAAAGAAGCAGGTCGAGCTTTCTAAGCAGTGGTTGAGAACACTGCATTATTTTGATTGATAGGTAGGGATGAAGGATTAGTCTTCAGCTGTGCGTGGTGAACACAATTTAACATTGTATGTTTAGAGAAGGAGTGGTGTTGCCTGAGATGATTTGTTACCTCAGGTGTCTAGACAGAATTAGTTGCCCACTAAACTTAGCTTTCTAGACACCATCTCTGTACCTCCTGTTCCCCTCTCCACCTGGGAAACCATTCCTATGAATATAATGTATATCTTTCCAATTTACCTTCTTTCGTTGTGTGTATTTTCTTAAAATATATGGGGAAATATACATAATTTGTGTTTGTGCATTTTTAGAAATTTGCAAACATGATATTGTTCCACAAATTCCATTTCATTTCTTTTTTTCCCCCCTTTGGTACATTTTTGAGGTCTGTCAAAGATACCTTCTCTATACTGAACAGTTACTTGGGTGGGCTCCCTGAGAATCCCTATATACATGGTCTGCACATCACTTCCTGAGCTCTCTAATGAAGAAATGAGGCACTGAAAGCACGCTATAAACACTTGCACATGTTTACCCTTGTACCTAGGACAATCTCTCTGGGGCATATTCCAGGAGTGGAGAGTTTTTGGTCATAGGATATACATGCATTTGATTTCATTAGGAGTTGTATTTGCTTCCAGAGTGGCTGCACTACCTATGTGCTCTGTAATAGAGCATGAGAGTGTCCCCCTCCTCCTCTTTCTTTATATCATCCCTCTAGATTTGCTTATCTGGTATGAGTGAAGAGTGAAATGATGTGTCATTTTGCCATATAATTCTTTGATTGCACTTCATGCACAGGTTTCTCCTGTACATTTTATGTTCCTATCTTTTCCCCACGTGTCTCTTCTAATCTTATCGGGCTTTCTTGTTGAGTTTTTCAGCCATAGAATTTCCGTGTGTACTTCTCCCAGTTTTTACTTATCAGATAATTTTCTCTGAGACATTCTTCATCAAATAGAGGTATTTCTTTGGAATATAGCCAAATCCATCTATTTTCCTCATTACATTTTATGTTTTGAGTTTTAAAAGATTTCCTCACCTACAAATGACAGAGATACTGTATTCTGTTATATTTTCTCCTATTAGCTTTATAGTTTTATCTTTCACAGTTGCATTTCAATTATAACTAAAGTTACATTGGAAGATGATTTAAGATAAGGACCCAACATTTTTTAAATCTCCATGTAGTGAGCCAACTCTTTTATCACCATTTGCCAAATAGCGCATCTTTTCTTTGTAGTACTGATGATCCTTCTATGACGTACTAAGTTCTCTGTGTCATAGGCCTGTTTCTGGACTATCAATTTGTTCCATTGATCTGACATTTTATTCCTTGTGCAACTACTACACTATATTGATCATTATGTCTTTCAAACTGTCTTAATCTCTGTTGGTATGAATCCTTCCTCTTATTCTCCTTTTTACAAGTAGACTTAGCTATTCCCAGACCTTTATTCTTCTTTGTTGTGATTTTAGATTCACTTCATCAAGTTGTCAAAAAAATTAAAAATGCTGGAGTTTTGATTGGACTTTCATTGAGTTTATAAATTAATTTTGGAAAAGCTGACATTTTTTCGATATTAAATCTTCATATCCATTAACAAGGTATATGTCTCCACTTATGTAGTTTATAAGATGTCCTCGGTTAGAATTTTAAAATTCTCTTCAGAAAGTTCTTCTGTTTCCTTTGTTAGGTCACTTGCTAGGGTGTCTAGTTTTAGTTGCTGTTGTATGTGGTATGTTATTTTTAGTTATTTTTTTTTCTCAACAGTTATTGCTGCAGGGAGAGAAATGTTGTGTGATCTTGTGCCCAGAAATTTTTCTGATTGCAGTGGTTTTACTGGAACAACAGTCATGCCATTGTAAATACTGACAGTTTTTTCCCTTGCCTTCCAATTCCTGTCCTTAAATGTTTTCACCTCACCTTGCTGACCAGCGTGCCTTTGAGGATTGGCATGCTTGTTTTGTTCCCCGCCTGAATAGGAATGTTTGAGATTTCATTCTATTAAAATTGATGAAGGGCTTCTGGTCAAGATGGCGTGGAAGATAGACTCTGTACTTGCCTCCTCTTACGACCACATCAAAATTACAATGAAACTACAGAATAATCATTATTGAGAGTTGCCTGAGATCTGGCTGAATAGAAATTCTACAACTAGGGACATATATAAGAGGCCACCTCAAGACTGTTAGGAGGGGGTGGAAATGCAAAATGGGCCAGTCCCACAACTGTATGTGGTGGTTGAGAATCAGGAGGGATATCTTGGCTGCAGAAGTCTCTCTGCAGGAGTGAGGGATCATGACTAAATAGTAGGCTCCTCAGCCCAAGGTTCCAGTGCCAAGAAGTCTCCACAACCTCTGGCTGTGTAAATCAGAATAGATTGTGGCTGAGTAAGACAGAGGGCTATGGGAGTCGCAGATGCTCCTCTTAAAGGGCCCATGAGCAGACTTAATCGCTAATGAACTCATTCGCTCTGAACTTCAGTACTGAGGCAGCAGCTCAAAAGCACCAGGGATATATGAAGAGGAATTGAATTGTCTGGCTTCACGGCGAGAGCTGGAGGGGCAGCTTTCCCACAGATAGAAGTGCTGGCAGTATTTGTCAGTTCTTTGTTGACCCTTCACCCTTTCTGGAGCGCGGATGCAAGTGGCCATCATATCTGAGCTCCATCAACACTAGTTGTCCTGCCCTGGTGATTCCCAGACCCAGGCCCTCCCAACTTGTGGATCCACCCAAGTTGCTTCCAGTGATTTCTTTTTTTTTTTTCTTTCTTCTTTCTTTCTTTTCTTTTCTTTTTTTCGTTTTTCTTTTTTTACAAATGGTGGGTCTTGGCTCATGCTGCGGACTTTCCTAAAAATCTCTCAAAGTTTTGCAAAACCCAAACGAACATCATCTAACCTTAGTGTGTCCCATACTTCTTTCTGAGCATCCCCAAGCCCGGCATTAGCAGCAGCTGGCCTCAGTTCTTGGCTTGGCTTCTTCAGGCATCTCTAAGCCCAGCACAGATGTCAGTCATCTCTGGATTGCTTGGTGACTTTTGCAAGGTGGCCTAAGAAGTGCATAGGCTGCGACTGAGCTTGGCCTGCAGTGAGGCCCGTCCCAGGAGGCCCTTGAGCTGATACACCTAGTGGCCTGCTTCGACTAGAACCAGAGCACCACCTAGGGATGCATCTGAGAATGACACATCAAAAGGGCATCTTGGGTGGCACCAGAGCCCTGCTAAAGTGAATCACGCTACCTAGGGTCGACCCCTCACTGGCCAGTCCTCATAACAAATCAGCCCAAGGGTCAGCCACTCTCATTGACATGCAAATAGCATGCAAGGCTCAACTACAACAGGAGGGTACACACAACCCATACAAAGACACACCTTGAACACTTGGCTCAAGTGACCGGGGAAGACTGTGCCACTGGACCCCACAGCACACCTACTACATAAAGCCATTCTACTAAGACTAGGAGACTTAGGAGCCCTACATAATACATAGTAACAAAAACAGGAAGGCAGCCCAAATGGAGAGACAAAGAAATGTGTCCCAAATGAAAGAATAGAACAAAGCTCCTGAAAAAGAACTAAACAAAATGGAGACAAGCAATCTACCAGATGCAGAGTTTAAAACACTGGTTATAGGATGCTCAATGAACTTAGGGGAAGAGTAGATAAAGTCAATGATAACTTTAACAAAGAGAGAGAAAACATAAAAGTGGAGGTAGAAAACAAAAAAGAATGAGTCAGAAATGAAGAATACAATAACTGGAATGAAGAATATATTAGAGGGAATCAACAGATAGATGAAGCAGAGGATCAAATTAGAGATTAGAACATAAGGTAGCAGAAAACACCCAATCAGAACAGCAACAAGAAAAAAGAATCCAAAAAAATGAAGATAGTTTAAGGGGCCTCTGGGACAAGCATAACGACATTCATATCCTAGGGGTACCAGAAGGAGGAGAAAGCAAGGAACTGAAAACCTATTTCAAGAAATAATGATGGAAAACTTCCCTAACTTGGTGAAGGACATAGACATACAACCCCAGGAAAGTCAGAGAGTCCCCAACAAGATATATCCAAAGAGGCCCACACCAACATACATCATTGTTAAAATTTGAAAGGTTAAAGATAAAGAGAGAATCTTAAAAGCAGCAAGAGAAAAGCAATTGGTTGCCTACAAGGGAACTCCCGTAAGACTGTGAGCAGATTTCTCAACAAAAACTTTGCAGTCCAGAAGAGATTGGCATAAAATATTCAAAGCAATGAAAACCAAGGACCTACAACCAAGATTACTCTACCCAGAAAAACAATCAGTTAGAATTGAAAGACAGAGAAAGAGCTTCCT